GGACAAACAGCCGACAAGTTGATTTTACACATGAGGATCGTTATGTAGTTTGAACGTGTGAGTAAACTTTTCCGTAGGGCTTCACTTATAGTGCGCCATGGTTTTCTGACTTCACGTTTGGGTTGAGGGTGATCGTAAATTCGGGAGGTGGGTGAGCGTTTTTCAAGTTGGCTCGGTTTCGATAAAGTTTGCGGTTTATAGGAATACAACGGTACAATCGTTTCACGAGTGACCGAACATAAGACGATGGAGACAGGGATCGCTCTCCCAAAGAGTGTCGTCATCTGTAACAAGTCGACGGTCGTTCTAGACGGGAAAGCCGTTCGTTACACCTGTTCAGTTTAAAAAAGAAATTTTTTTGTAACTTTTATGTTACTGTTCGTTCAGGTATTTACAGGTTTGACTTGACGAAATCCATGATCAGTCGTGTCAAAGTTATGTCTAATAAAGTCAAGTAGCGTTTAGACTTGAAATAAAATATTGTAAAACAAAATAAACTCACTTATGTAATAAGTGTCAAAATTATTATTAATTTTTTTTTATATATATATATACAATACAAAACACTATTAAAAAAAGACCGACATGGCCACCTGTCTTTATCCGTCATCCTTGTACGTAACTGCGAAACCAAAATGTTCCCAAACCGGAGACTTCAATGATGCTGGAGGATTTTCGAGCTCAACTTTATCTGCTGCCATTTCGACAGTTCCTCAAATTACTAAATTTGAACGCATCCTTCTGACCAGCTCTCATAGCATGCCTCTCGTCCAATGAAATGACTTGCTCGCTCTATGACGCGTTGAACCCAATGTGAGCAAATTACTCTGAAATGCTGCAACGCAGCACCTGAGATTACTTCCAAGAAGTTGTTCACGTTCTCAATTTTTTTACGTTTAACGTTATATTCGTTCGGTACACTTCGGTCCACACATGTACCGAACCGAAGGGCCCGTACCGAATAATTTCGGTACGGGTACGTATACCGTTACACCCCTAGTAGCCAGGGATATCTTTGCAGCTCCACAATACTGAATCATTACATTTTTTGTTTTACTATTGTTAGAATTCATAATTAGCTTCAGAGTAACCAATGTCTGTAAAGGGATATTTCCAGGGAAAGGATGAAGTAGCAAGATGATTTAATTCAGTGCACTAAGCAGTGTGTGTGTGCCTCAGCCTGTCACTAGTGGATGATGAAAACATCTGCAAATGTGCGTTTGAGACGTGTGTGTGGGTGTGTTTGTTTCTCATTGATGAAATATAACATTACATTGCATGTCACTTGTTAGACGCTTTTATCCACAGTGACTTACTTACTCAATACTGTGGGCAATCTCCACAGGAGCAATTTGGGGTGAAGTGTCTTGCCCAGGGACACAACGACATGCTGACTGCAGTTGGGTTTGAACCTGTGCTCCCCTGATCCAAACACCAAGGCTCTATCCACTGCGCCACACGCAGGGACATGCGCATATTTCAAACCGCATATGTGTCTTTTGTCTCAAAATTGACACATCCTCACCTTCCGCTCATTACTGTTGTTGGCACTAAGTTTGTTAATGGGACATTTTCTTTTCTTTTTCTGTCTCGCAGAGTCTTCGATCCTGTCGTTCGACGGCAGCATGTACATGAAGGTGGTCATCCCAAACGTGATGCACACAGAGGCGGAGGACGTCTCCCTGCGCTTCATGTCTCAGCGCGCGTTCGGGCTGTTGATGGCCGCCACGTCCCGCGAGTCTGCGGACACTCTGAGGCTGGAGCTGGACAGCGGGAGAGTGAAACTGACGGTCAACTTAGGTATCGTATAAACCGTTCCCTTAACCCCCCCTCCAACCCAAGAGGAGGCCTTACTGTCTTTGTGTTTTATTTTATTTTTGGGTCCAGACCTAACACACACTAAACCAGTTTTTTCGTAGTTTGTCTTTGTAGTTGCATGTCTTGTTTTGCCTGGACTGTACGTTTTTTCTGCCTTGATGCTTTAGACGTCTTTGTAGATTTTTATATCCATTAATCTTACAAGAAACACAGCTATCCATGCTCTGTAGCACATCTTTTGAACACATCATTCTATTTTGTGTACAAATACATTTCACTTTTTTGGAAACTCTTCACACATGCATTCATTCTGACAACATGTAAGCTAATATCCTACCATCTACTTAGAATAACAGATTATTGTTGTACATCTAAGTGCTCTAATAGTATGCATTCTTATGTGGGTCTGTTCCAGTGGTCTGTCTTTTATCTATTTTTATATGATTTCTCCCATGATAGCAGGTCCATGTCTCTCTCCGTCCATTAGTAACCCTGGCATCTCCCATGCCTTGTTCAAAGATGGCACTCACCCCTTCAAAGGCCCCGAAGCCTGCGGCCCGTCTGGCAAACAGCCCGATGCCACCGCACCCAGCGCGCTGCAGTAGAGGAGAAAATCCCCACAAAACACATGTGAACATACAATATATCTCATATATCTTTTCTGTAAAAGGCATTTTAATTGGTAACCACAGCTGCCGGAACACCTTTAATCAACTTTTAAATGTTTTTTTGCCAAAGATTAAAAAGACCTGTAGAAATGCAAATGATATTACACACACACAGGACCCTCTTTGAGAAGGTTTTTTATGCATCTGTACGTGTTGGTGCTGCGTGGCTCGAGGCTGTTTGTTCCCACTTTTCTGTTGCGGTTGACGGCACATGACCAGCCTGGTCACATGGATTTCAACATGCACCTGGCAAACACAAGTTCAATAGATGGAGAAACATTTCATGTTAAAGAAAAAGCTACATTTTAAAATGTATTTTTGCTTTATTTGCTGGGTTGCAAAATCGATGTGGCCATTGAGTTGCAAGCGACTATTTAAAAAATTAAACTACATACAAAAATAATACTTTTATGATGCTATTAGCGTATCTAATTGGCCATCTAATATCAGCCATTATTGGTGCAATATTATTGACTTCAGCTTTTAGAGTAATCAATTGGATTGGGATTCAATTATATTTCCAGTATCAGTATAAGGACTAGGTGAAACATGGCTGCCAGGGTCATGTGACCGTCCCCGGAAGGTGGCTTTTCTTGCTCTTGGTTGTCTGCAGCTGTAACCTTGAAGGATGCGATTTCATCTGTCACTTATTCACTTATTCTCCCCCCTCCCCATCTAGACTGTGTCAGGATAAACTGTAACACCAGTAAGTCAACACTCTTCTTCTGCAGCCTTCTTCTTCCTACACTGTGTGGTTTTATAGCCTGTGTGCTAGATGTAAGGGCAGGAATGTGTGAATGCCGGGGACTGATAAGAGGATTTCTCAGATAAGAGGGTGGGGGAAAGTAATAGCCAGAGATTAAAGTTATGCAAATCTGACTTAATGTACTATTTTAATAGCACACTTCTTAAATTGATTCAGGCACCTAGTTTCTAATCTTTCCCTGTATGCTCATAGCTGCTAGCTTTTAGACCCCACGGGCTATCTTATATGTTTTCCCAATTATACAGTAATATATTGCTGTTTCTCACTCGCTTTGTTTTCCTGCCCTAAGTATACACACTGCAGTATATAGGCTTCTAATGTGATATACTATATACAGTATAAGGTGTCAGGAGACATGCTGTTACTCATGAAAGGGACTCTTATTTTGTATTCTGTTCAAAAGTGCCCACAAGGCTTTTAAAGAGAATTATAAAGCTGAACAAAGGCTTAAAAGTAAGTCCAAGTATGTGTTAGATTCGTTTTTTTTTCTTTCATAATAATACAAATAATAATAATACAGTACAGTTGAATAGACAGAATTCTAGGAAAGGCAATTGTTTAGAATTTAATTTATTTCCCTTTGAATGTATATATATATATATATATATATTCATTTCAATGTAAATGTCTTTTTTTGTTATAGTTTATCATTTGAGTTAGTCTTTTTTATTCAGAAAGACTACATTTTTATCACAGCATTTAACAGAAGCTTGGATACAAACTACAATATGCCAAAAAAGAATCTTCACAATATCATTTAATAGTTCAATCGTAGATTTAGACTTGAGTAACAAAGAGGATGCTTCTCTGTATACTGAAGTTTGCACCACACTTGTATTTTTCTATAGATAAGATAAGATGGTACTTTATTGATCCCAATTTGGGAAATTGTTTTTGTTGCAGCAGCATAAAAGACAAGGCTTTTTACAATAAAACAAGAACATAGAAATAAACAAGAATAGAAATAAAATAAAATAGAAAATGTACATGTCGAAATAGAAAATATACATGCAGATATTATATATACAAATATATATATACATAAATATATGACATGGAATATTAAATATAAAATATTGAACAAATTATATGTGTAAAATGTTCAACATGGTTTTTTATAGGCCTAGAGTAACAGTTTACGAGTTTAGTCGCACATTAACAATCCTAATTCTAGTCTCCGAATCACTTCAAGTGACCACTGATGAACACTGCTGAACCTTGTGTTAAACGTCTTCCAGCAGATTCAGGATTCTGACTCCATGGGGCGAGGCTGCCTTCTAGTGGTTTGTTTTAGGAATGACTTACACAATATCCGTAGGCCTCTTATCGTACAACGAGAATACAAAACTAGAACATACAAATTAAGAGAATATAAGCAAAGGAAAGAGAAACTGTTATATTACATTTATGTCAAATAGTCATCAGGGCTGCACAATTTGAATAATTCTGATCACTTTTGACGGATGTGCAATAACAATATAGGAGTAATTGATCTTTTTTGCAACACATTTCTCATAATTATTTCCAAATATATCAATTTTATCGTGCTGTGATTTTTTAAAGATGACCTGTAACAAACATATATGTAATAGCCACCTCTTTTGAGTCGTCGTATGAGTAACAGCAAATGTTTTCTTTAATTTAGTTGTCAGTTGTGATTTATTGTATTTGTTGTTAAATACAAAAAAAAGCTAAATGTAGCACTGCTTAATCTGCAAATGATACCTTTTTTTATTATTATTATGACTACACATTAGTTCCAATAAAAAAAAAAAAAAATCCTGGTTGATTTTTCAACTGTCTGTTTAATCAGTTGTGAAAACAGATTTTGTTGGTGCTTGGTCCCCCCCCCTGACTAACTAACCCTCCTCTTCAGGCAAAGGTCCTGAGGTTCTTTATGCCGGACAAAAGCTCAACGACAATGAGTGGCACTCAGTGAGAGTGGTCCGCCGCGGTAAACACTTCAAACTCACTGTGGATGACGACATGGCTGAAGGTATTACTCCCATGATTAAAATCCAAAATATGCATGATCATGTCGTTTAATTGTTCTTATTTATTTGTTGGCGGGCAGTTGTAATCCTTATATCTTATTTTTTAGTCTTTGTGTTTTGCCAATTGTTAAGGCGCAGACATATACTCATTAGAGATGTCCCGATCCGATCGGGGATCAGAGCCGATCACGTGATTTTCAAAAGATCGGAATCACAGAGAAAAAAATCGGGATCTGGATTTTTTTTTCTATAAAATATTTTTATTATTTAATGTTACAAAACAAAAATGACCATGTTCACGTCTTAAAGTCATCCTGAGGCCTTAATTTTGGTTTAAAATTACACAACATCATGTGTGTGTTGCTTCTTTTGGGCTTGTTTTCATAGACCTGGTTGCTTATTTCTTTCAAATCTGGCAAGAGAGTGGGCAGGGCGCAGTGTCTAATAGTAGCAGTAAGCTAACGAGAGGCTACGTTCAGCTGGTGACTCGGGAGTCGGGACAGAGAAAATGTCAGGAGTTTGGAAGTATTATAAAATTGAAAGCGAAGGCAGTGTAACAGCCAGATGCAATGTTTGCAAGGTGGAGGTTTCGCGTAGTGGAAAGAACAGAGCTACGTTCAACACGACCAATCTAATACGCCACCTGAGAAACAAACACCAACAACAACACGACGAGTACACAGCGGCCACTCAGGTAACGGCACCGAAACAACCGACAATTTCAGAGACTTTTAATAGGAAAGAGAAACTGCCCCAGAACAGTGAAAAGGCCAAAAAAATAACAGCCAAGATAGCTGAATTCATTGCGTTGGATGACCAGCCGTTATCTGTTACCTTTTTTTCTCTTAATGCATTGCATGAAGATCGGATCGGGACATCCCTAATACTCATGTATCTCTTCCTTTGGTTTTTGTTGGAAAACTATTTCTTTCATGGTTTTGTTGCCTTAACTTGACTGTCGGTGGTAGAGTTATTGCATCAGCCTGACACAAAGTGAAACTGGGCTGTTGCTGGTTTGAAGGTTAGGTTGCAGTATCCTCCCTCCTCCTCTTCCACCCCTTCATCCCTCCGCTTCTTCTCCTTTCTCTTCCCTCCACCTCAGGTCAGATGGCGGGCGACCACACCCGCCTGGAGTTCAACAACGTGGAAACGGGCATCTTGACCGAGAAACGCTTTGTCTCCTCTGCTCCCTCCTCCTTCATCGGGCACCTTCAGGTAAAAAGTGCAATACATCACAACACTACAGACAAATCCTTTCAACAAATGTTAGACACTTGGTTATGTTCCAAAGAGGAGGGGACGTAAGTCACAATTATTTATAATCTCAATTAATACTCAAAGACACTTTATATTTTATCTTCAGATGTCACTAATATTATTTACTAGAAATGTCACTTTTCAGTCAGTATTAAAGGAATGGAAATGCATCTATTATTTTAAGGATAATCCTCTGGGCTTTGAAATACATTTCTTTCCTTTGATTGGGTTTACTCAAACACAATGTGTGGCAACTTCTCTTACAATGTTACCATGGCAATCTTGATTCAATTAAGTTCCTCATTTCAAGCTGTAGGGCTGCTTGAAATGAGGAAACTGTGCAATTACTTAGTTTCATATTACTACAACGATATTACCTAATAGTTTAATGAAAGATAATTACCGTAATTTTCGGACTATAAGGCGCACCTGAATATAAGCCGCAGCAGCTAAATTGAATGATGTGTACATATATAAGCCGCNTAAATATGAATGAGATTTATTTATTGAAAACAAAATATTTTAAATGAAAACTATAGGCTCCACTTCCATGTATGATCAAAGTGACAAGGCAGTTCCTTGAACTTTCAAGGAACTGCCTTGTCACTTTGATCATACATGGAAGTGGAGCCTATAGTTTTCATTTAAAATATTTTGTTTTCAATAAATAAATCTCATTCATATTTACATAACATTACATAGCATTAAATATAACACTGAAATGGTAAAAAAAAAAACGCAAATTATTATTAATAATATCCAATAAATGTCAGTCACCCAAAATTACGTCATTGGTGTTACTGCTATACAAAACGCTTTTATTTTTGAAGTAATGTACTTTCTCCGAAGTGCCTCCTGTAACAAGAGATCATTTGAGGCAGTGCAGTGGACAAAGACATAAGGAAAGTCAGATACTTCTTACTTTGTTTGTTAAAGGTGTCATTGTATCTTCACATTTTACGTGCGTCTTTCAAGTCTGTCATTAGTGTTTCATTTCATAGCCCTAGGGGTGAACATTTGAATGGGAAAATGTATTGTATTGAAGAGTTAAACGATTTTGATAATGACTGACTATGGCAAGAGACAAGACAAACTGACACTGAAAACTGGGAGACTAGGGAATTTAAACACACGACAACAAGACACAGGTGAAAACAATCAGGGGCGGGCTGGTACTGATGATCACAGGAGACAGACAAGGGAAACAGGTGAACACAATCAGACAATTAGACACACCAGGGAAACTAACGACAGGGAGGAAAACACAGGGAGAAGGACCAGACAATACACAAGGAGGAAAACATGACAGGGAGAATAGAACAGACACACCAAACTAAAACCGTGACATGACATAATAATCGTGACATTAACGGGTTTTAGATGTGTTTAGAAGGAATATATTTCAGCAGATTTGTATCACCCAGATTCCACCTTTTCTGTAGAATGACTCTTTCAAGTCTTGTTACATAAGAATAGATCATATTGTTAAGTGTTATTATGGTAGAATTACTATTCTTGTGGTACTGCCTTATTAAGCCCATATTGAGCAGAGCATATTAAGAACAAAACTCATGGAGGCTACAACAACTTCCTTACTTGCAATAAATAACACTAATTAGAGGATTATTGAGGAAAAACTCTCAACTAATGGCTTATTACTTGTAGAATATGGTCATGCAGAATAAGGCATTAATAAGTGTCTTATAATGACTAATAAAGAGCCAATATACTGCTAATATGTGTACCTTAATATAAAATGTTACCAAGCTTTCTTTAGTACAAGCTTTCTTATCAAGGTTTCTCTGTTTATTCTTTAGTCTGCACTTTGCAATTAACATTAATCTTTTCCCTTCTCTCTCCACAACTCCCTAAAAGGAGAATATTTTGAATTCGTCTTTTTCCTCCTGAAGAGTTTCTTTCGTGTTTTCATTGAGGGCTGCAGAAGTAATTTTCATGTATTGTTTTCTAATGAAAGTCTGGCAATTTTGAGCATGAAAACTAAAGAAATAAACTTCAGGTTCCTCCCATTTCTTCAAGCCCCATGGAACAATACAATTTACTTTTTGAAGTATTTTCTACAAAGTGCCCTTCAGCAAGTCAAGTCTGTGAATATTTAATAGTTGAACCTGTAACACCTCCTGTGGCTGTATTCACATGCATGGAGCAACACAGTTATCGGCCATATTCTGGTTTACATCTTGTCCAGGTTAAGCTGTGCAGCTGCACCTTTGATAGACTCTACTACTTGTCATGAATAAACCAGTAATACATTATTGGTGTACTGTTCCACTTGTAAATAATTCACCAGCAAAAGTATTGAAAGGGCAAGCTTTCATGCTCTTTCACTGACAAGTATTCTAATGCAGGTGAAATAAATGATATAAAAGTACTGAGGTCAAAAGCTAGAGGGGTTTTGTTATCTTCTTGATATTCAAATGTAAACAGGACGCTGTCGGACACAGATGGCAAAATCCAGATCCAGAGTATCGCTCAGTGCCAGGCATCTTAACTGTGCCTCTCAGAGAGTCTCAGCTAAGACACAGTAATCAGGGGTTTCCTGTGTAAAGCCAACTGCATGCAATTCTGTGAGCATTGTTTTTACATTTCTGTTTGCTTTTAGTTACTTATGCTTTTTGATATGCCACCATAATCAAAAATGTTCTATTGACTCTAATGTGAAACATACACAATCTTAGACACAAAGCTGTGGCCTGGCATGTCAACATGAGTGCTGATAAGTATAGGTTGCAGAAAGCTCCACATCTAAACTCTACCATACTGCCTGCATGGTGTTTGCAACCACCCTGCATTTTCTTTACATACAGTATACAGTAGTACAGTAGTTCTGGTTGACTTAAAGGGCAAATTCATTTTATAAGCATTACAAAGGAACACATGCAAAGAATCGTCTACCTAATAAGTAACTTCTAGTATTCATTGCACAGTCTGTATCTTATTGTATTGTAATTAGGCAGGTTGTGGCATGTTATGATGCAATACAACTGCTACAACTTAAATATAAGGTATGTTAAATAAATGAAGGTCTCACAGTTGTGTTGCTACTTGGTTGGGGTGTGATCTGCAGGACAAATCTCCACACCTGTGACACCCATGGATGATAAATGGCATACATGGAAGATGAATCCAAACAAGTTATTCCAATTAAAGCTGCCCACCCAGCGCACTCACTGAAAACGTTTTCCAACTTTTGCGCACTCGCAGTAACTACGAGGCATCCACTTGCAGACCAACTGTCTGTAGGCGTGAACATAATACCTTGATTAGACCGTTTGCTCGCTTTTAAATACATATTTGATTGAACTATAAAACTTTAAAAAATTGTATTGGATTTAAATATGTTGGGATAGAAATAAACTTTGTTAATTATAATTAAGCTGTGTAATAGATTGCATGTTCATTTAAAAACAGATGTGTTTTGCTTCAATGTGAATTTTGTGCTTCAGGAAAGGCTGTCAAAGTCTAAAATGGACTGAAACCAGTACTTTAGATATCTGATTAACCTTAAAGTTCTCCTATTATGCTATTTTTAGGCATATATTATGGGTCTAAGATATATACAAAATATATAAAAAAACATGTAAATGATGTGTTTTGCTCAAAAATACCAAACAGATCATGCATTTTAGACATCCCTGATATCCCTCTGTTGTAGCCCTGTTATGCCCCTTTCACACCAACGCGGTTCCCGTTCTATCTTTTTATTTTTTTTTGCATTTTATATTTTGTAAATTGTGTAACTTTCTGCTGTTAAATACAATCAAACTATGTGCAATATGTGCTATATGTGCAATTTATAAAACGGACAAGTCAAATCAAGCAATCTGATTGGTTCTTAGCAGTGATATACTGAGCGTATACCACGGGTAGAATTGTAAGTTACTTTTCACAACAAGTCAGTATCCCTCCGCGTCTGAGAAAAACAGTATATCGTTGGGCTGAAAAGCAAACTGCCTGCAGCTTCGCGACGGGCCGAACCACGCCCCTTAGCTGTGATATAATGAGCATATTATATATATATTAGGGCCGGGACTTTAACGCGTTAATTAAGATTAATTAATTACACAAAAATTAACGCGTTAAAAAAATTAACGCATTTTAATCGCACTTATTTTTGCACCGCGGAACGTTTCT